TCTCGTCTTGACACCCAGGCTTTACCTCCAACATTTAGAAAGTCTACAAAGGAAAAATTTGTAAACTTACTTCAGCTGCTGTAGGTTTAATATTCATTCTGGTAGAGTGGAAGATGCAAGATATTAACTATTTAAGTGTCATAAACTTCTGAATAGGTGGAAGGTGAATAAGTTTCAGGAGGCTGTTTCTATTTGCCCACAGTGTTTGTATTTTTCCAGTAGCAGTACTGATGTGATTTACTGATACTTCTTAAAAACATTTACTTTATGGACTTCAAACTCTACAAGTGAGACAAACATCATGGCTGACACTTAGTAGTATTACTTACTACACTGGGGGTAATGCATCTTTGCTGTGGAGCATACTTCAGGTTAATAACTAAGAGTGGAGCAAGTACTGATCTCTTCCCCTGCAAACCTGTCTGGTGCTTTTGAAGCAGAGAGCCTAAAAGAGGGGAGCAACTGGACCAGTGACAATTCAAGAAGGGACAGGCATTCAGCCAGCCAGCAGGTTGCCTCACAAGGAGAGACCTAGAAAATTCCAGCACAAAACCAGCTTTCATCTTTTCAGATTAAGAGGATTCAGTTTTAACAAAAACAATAGATAAAACTATCTCCAGTTCAGGCCCGTATGTTTCTTGGGAGTACCTCCAGAAGATGCAGATTCCCATTTGTGGGAACTGCTCTGTCTGAGCTCTGGGCACCAAACTATCTGAGACAGTTTTATGGCCAAATCTACACTGTTTTGCAAGAATGAGTGAAGACCGCATAGGACTTCCTTGTTTTGGGGTAACAAACACCTTTTCAGAGCCTGAATGTAACAGCACTGGCAAAAAGCACTTAGAGCAAGTTGAGTAGTGTTGTTTCCTAAGGAAGCAGCTCATTACCTCTTAGAAGAGTGTGTCATTTTGGTGTTGGTGTTTGGAATTAACAGGGTAATAGGAATATGGTGGAACATAAGGCAGAACGTGAATTTTCCTGGAGTTTTGCATATATGAAATGGACACATGAACAACTTTGTGTTAAATAGAAGGCGAGATACTGAACCTGAGGATCATGTTAATGAAGAGCTCAGCTGTCAAGTCAGTGTATTTTGTCACCTGAAGTGGTCAGCCCACAAACACTAGCCATTACCTCATTATGATAAATTGCAGTTATTGGTGTTAAAACTTGGACTTTAAAGTAAACAATGTCCTAAGAGTGTATTCAGAGGAGTGCAACCCAAGAGCAATTTCATATGTGAAGTTAGTACATAAACCTCTACAAGTGGCTGCTCTGCAGCCTTTTTAAACATACTCTATACAGACTAATTACAGATACATTACCTTTACAGGAAAAATACACCCACAGAACCTGTGAGCTACTTCTGATGACAACTTAAAATTCCTTCTCTTGAACTGCTCCTGCTATAGATTTGCTAGCATTAATGCCAACACTGTCCATGATTTTAAAGTTTTTCCTGTTGTCCTCTGTTGAAGCCCCCTCAAAGTCTGATTGTGCTATTCTAAAAAAAGGCTTTGCTTTTATTAAAATCAGAACTCTTCATTCTCTCTGGAGGCCTGACATTTATGATCAAGCATTCCATGCCTACTTCTCTTGGCCTAACTCTGGTCATTTGCAACAACACTGGTGTTAAGTGAATATGAAGCCCTGGTCTCTGAAGTAATCAGATTTTCAGGCCCTGTGCCCTATGTCACATGGAACCATTTATTGCAGTACAATAGGAAGCAAGGCCACTATGCCCAACAGTATTTCTGGGGGAAGAAATGCTGCTCATTGCTGAGTAGCAGTATGCCCAGCTGATTATAGGTTGGAAATTGTGCCTTAGAAATCGAGGGATTTTTGCATTTAGAATAAGAACAGAGAGGGAACGACCAGAGTAAGTGCAAAGAGAGAAAATACGCAGGGTACCAAGCTCCCGTGGCAGCACCTGGTCACATGGCAGTGCATACTTCCCAGATCCAGCTGCTACGGGGCAGCTGAACTGGCCTTGGCAACTGGGATGAGCTGGGCTATGAGGAGCCATCAATGCTCCACCACGGCTTCGTGAGCTCGGCAAGTTGCTCAGTTCCTTCTTCCCACAGAGACAAACTCACAGCTCTGCCATCAGCTCCAGCATCTCCCCATACCCAGCATCTGTCACGACCTTCACACACATAACAGAGAGGTTCAACAGCAGATGATTAACCTCAACCACGTACGAATCGTGGACTAACTGGATCATTTCAGCTTATTGTATTAAGTCTTTGAATTTCAGAGCTTACCTTAGGGTAACTTCATTTGCTCTTGCTGAAGTTGTAGAGAAATAAAAAAAGGCCCAAGCCCCTCAATTTTCCAAATGTAGTAAAAAGTGTTTGAATACACACTTTAATATATTTTCTGTGGCATTTTTGTAAAATACAGATATATAATTATAGGTATAATGCATATACAGCATTTACTATATTGATAAAAAGCTACTCTTTTCACAATGACACACCAGTAAGTATTTACAATACGATTCAAATTTTAAGGATCAGATGTTTTAAACAATACTGTGTGGTTATACGATGAGAATAATTTGAGGAAAAATAAGAGACCAGTTCTAAGAAATTCCCAAACAATAAAATACATACTCTTTCCAGGAGCACCTCCATGAACATCCATGCACAACCTTTTTTTTTCCCCCTTTTAGGTACAAGCACAATTTAGCTCGTTCATACTTCTACCTAATCACAGCCCTTAAGAAAACATGGATAATCACCTTCTCAAGTACAGATTAACTGTACCACTCTCCCCATTTAAATAATTCTCCAACTGCAACATTTCAAAGTTTTGGCTAGAGCAGGAATTACTATGCACACGTTTCTTATTAATTTAAACCAATAGAGCTGTGTCAATTTATGCAACAGAAAATTTTCCCATCTTCTTCTACACATGTTAGAACCATTTCACAAATTGTTAGTGTGAGGTTTCTGACCAGTGCTTTCAGCGTTGTGGGTCTCTGCTAGGAGTCTGCCTCAAAGGACACTGAAATACCAAAACTAGCAACACACCTGAAGCACACAACTGCTCTTTTTTATCCTCCTATATGAACACTACCTGGCCATTATCTGTGAGGGACTGTCCACAGTAGAGTGGTTGTAAAGACGATCTTCATCTCCCATGTACTGCCACCCTTTCCTGTGAGACAGAGAAGTGCTATTACAGAAGCAAAAAGCAAGATACAGAGAAGCTGAATGAATTGCCCAAGGTCACTTGGGAAGTTTGAGACAGCAAGGCAAACCCACATCTCCTCAATTGCACCCTCTTGCCTTTTCAGTTTTGAACGAGAACTTTCTGTGGGTCTGCTTTAAAATAAACAAATACGTAACTAATGGACATGAAGCCTCCTTCAGGCACAGGCTTAAACACTGCTCTGTTTTGCCTTCTGTTCCTAAACAAAAAGAGGAGATAGCAAGAGGAATGTTTCTGCATGCATTACCTCCATCCCACTGAAGAAATGAGCTGCAATGAGTCTGTCTTGACATGGGAGTGGTTAAGCCCACTGTTTGCCAGGAAGGGCACAGGAACTCTTCAGAAATACAGCAATCCACCTTCACCAACAAAAATCTAAGCGAAAAACTCAAAATCTGGAAAGGCCTTATTCTCCTTCAGTGCTGACTGGAGAAGCATTTTCAACTACTTTGTACGTACTTTATAATGCCTTTACATCACCTGCATAACACAAAGGATGCTCAGTTTACACGACCTATTCTGTCACACGTTAAAATCTGTTCCACAGACTCTGTGGCTCAGCTTTGATGGGCAGGCAGCTTTCCCATTAGGGCTGCTATTCACTGGGGCTGTGCAGGCACAGATAAGGGCAGAAATTTGACTATGACAAGTGTCTCCCCTTGTCCTTGTCACTCTGGAGAAGGCTGGTCAGAACCAGAGCTTGGAAGGAAGGGGAACCTCTCCAGTTCCAGGTGAGTGCGACAGAGAGCAGCAGGGAGGCAGTTGTGACAAAGTTCTGCTTCCAGAAACACTTGTGGGCCAACTGGGCCATCTGCCTAATTGATGCAAGTGATGTATTTATGAGATACTGAGAATGGAGGACTTTCAACCCTTATTAAAACAAAACAAAACAGAAAACCCAAAACACAACACACACACAAATGGGTAAAACCAATAATGAAATTTCTCATCCTGCTCGCTTTGGTTTGTTTTTTTTTTTTTTTTTCCTAAATCAAACCTGCATTTTCCTTTAAAAAAGTAAAAATACAAAAACAAAGACACATTAGAATATCCTACTGTCCAGTAAATGTCTTACAGGCAATATTTATGGAGGAAAAAATCCATCAAGCCCTTCCTTTGACAACGAAGAAGCACTTTAAAACTCATGCTGTACTAAACAACGCTGCTTCTTCTGCTGTTGACTTGAATTACTCCTATCACCACAATTTGGATATGCATTATTTTTCTTCCAATACCTAATTATAAATCTAGACTAATGCTGAAAAAAAAGAAAATCCTAGTGAGAGTGTTGTGCCATCGATAAGCTAAAAACAGCGTATCATGAGAAGGCAAACTAATCTTTCCGTTTACTTTGTAAATAATCCATTAGCTAAACTTCTATTTTAAGCTGGATACTTTATGCTTAACACTTCAAAGTCCACATACCATTCATATCCCTTATAACAGAGAAGAAACTTGTAAAATGCCTTTGGTGCATCAGTTTATCATTGTACAAACGTTTTAAAGAAACTCACTAGCACTATAGGAAATGTAAGTGGGGTTGTTTGTTTTGTTCAATACTCCAAGTGTCATTTCATTCTTTAAAGGGGCTAGAACAGAGGAGGGGGAGAGGGGAGGAAGTCTTACTTAATTTGTTGCATATGTCCCAACGTGTTATACAACTAAGTGTATTATACCAGAAAACTAGAGCAGTCTGCACAACAGCAAACTCTGCGTAACTCAGAATAGGAGAATAATCTGGCCACAGGCAAGGCGAAAATTCAGTGAAACTTCCTCTCATATTATATATACACACACTTTACAAGCTACACCGAGTGTCCTTTCATATTCCAAAAGAAATACATTGTAGACACCAAACATACTGTACTTTTACTTAAAGGCTTCATCAAACCATATGTGCAGACACTTGAGAAGACGAGAGTGTTAAGCTTCCTAGGGTCCTAGAGTCAAAGAAATTCTGCTGCCCCCCACTGCTAAGTAAGTGCACTCCTTCCACAGGGGGCAACATCTGCCGATCCGTCATGGTTCCACTTGGCGAGGACCCCAAGAAACTTCCTTGGGAAGAAACGATTTTCTCAGGACTGGCAGCCAGTTTAGGGGACGTGGAGAAGTTATATCCATAGAGCGCGCAGGGACTGTGCAGTCTAAACGTGTTGTAGGAGCCTTGGTGGGTTTGGTTAGTGGCGAAGGCATTGCTGGATGGGGACGGCATGATGTACTGGAGCTGTGGAGACATCCCTGAAATCTGCATGGATAAGCCAGTCTGCGGGCAGCTGAAGGCGTCCCCGTCACTGCCACCCATGGACATGTTCACCGTTGTGCTGCTCGACACGCCGACATACGAGGGAGTCCTCGGGGGCGCAAATGTCTCCCCGGTTTGGTTGGTGAGCCTGTTGTAGGTCTCAGCCAGGGAAGTGCTGTATCTGTTCAAGGTCAAGCCTGAGCGGGCACAAGCTGTGTAGTCAGCTGGAGCAAGGCTACAGAGCTGGCTCGTGTTGGGACTGAGGTGGAAGGCTGGAGATGAGCAAGGGGAACCCGTTAAAAGGTGAGGGTGGGTAGATGGCACTCCGCTGCCAGATCCCTGGAGTAAAGGAGAGGAACCTGCATTTCCTGGAAGAGAACATTACAGTGTAAGAAGCATGCTGGGAAAGGTTCACTTCCTAGGTGACAGACCAAGGCCTTTCTATTTTATAATAACCCTTGACATGAAGCACGACCCAAATCAATCCAAAAAATACTGTACATACGTATGCAGGGGTGGGTGTGTGTGGCACATGCAGATTTTTAAACAACTTGACCACGAAAGAGGACGTAAGTTATACTTTTGCAACCATCACTCAGTACTTGGAGCTCCTGCCCAACAGGTTACCTACTCTTTTTATCTGTCACTGGAAGGAAACTGTGTAGCAGCTAAGGTGTAACCAAGTGTGTACCACATCACAGGAAACCTTCTTCAAGATACATTTGTCTGTGCTTTTGCTACACCCCAGAGCGCATTTCAAGCACTCTGTGCCTGTCACTCTCAGAGCACCTGCTAAGGAAAAGGCTCCTTCGCTCAGGTGACAGTCTCCCATAGCTCAACAGCTTCAGAGAAGTTCACCACTCAAAAACAAAATTTCAGAACTGTAGAACAAAAAACTTCCAACTTCAAAACACAAAAAAACTTCAGAACAACTTCAGGAAAAGTATAGGCTGAGTACTGTGCATGGCCGCTTCATTTTTTGAACAAGCAGCTGGAGGTTTAGGTTTGCAGCAAACTGTTTGCAAACTGTTCAATTTACTGACATCAGAAGTTTTTATGTAACAAATACCAGTGCTGAATGCTCCTGAAAATGCACTGCTTGCTACAGGTGAAGCCTCTTCTCAGGACTGGAAGTTTTACAGCTGCAAGAAATGCTTCCTTTTCTTAGAGAGTTTATCTACCAGAAAAATGAGCACAGTCTCCCAGGCAGAAGGTACTTAACAAGGAAGACTCTCCTGGTTGTGAATCATACTAACAATCAGATTGATGCTGCAGAGATACATGCTGTCAATAAGTTAAGAGGTTTCTGCAATAGGTGAGCTAGTAAAAAGAAAAATACATTACTAGTGAACTCTGCCTGCTGCTTCTTGCTTTGTTGACAGAACAACAACACAAGTTCAAAGCACCACGAGTCACTGTCACATTCCAAAAATCCTGGTGCAGAGTGTTCTTATGTTTATTCCAAACTACACCAATGCTTCCACCACCTGAAGATGGGCACTTCCACCATTAACAACGAGGACAAATTTCTAATAGGGTCTTTCAGCAAGTCTCTAAACCACCCTACTGTCCAAGGTATACACAACTAAAGATTTTGCAACATAGCCAGTTCCCGTCCTTTGAACATCAACAGTAACTTGAACAAGCTCATTAATCTCAGGCAAAAGCAAGTGGAAGTTCATGGCAGCAGGTCCCTGCTCTCAAACAGTGCTGTTACACAAACACAGGGCAACACAGCTGGTCTGTCTCCTGGATGGAGTAACCTCATAGTGAGTTGCCTTTCAGTCAACACAGTCAGACCAGGTATGTCGGGTCTGATGCTGATTTCTCATTACAGGCTTTTTTTATAAAGACCGTCTCTCATCCCCGTGCTCTGCCCAAAACTCTGCCAACCCTTACCCAACATATCTATGACTTGGCACAAAAATTCCTTTCTAATTGTCCACACCAAGCCCTGATGCTCAAGATTTCTCGAAGGACTGTGCTAAGGAGACACTGACAAAAGTGATTTATATGTATTTCCATATTGTCTCCATTTTTGCTCTGAAGATGCTTAATGACTTTGCAATGCTTTACCAAGAATGCGAGTAGGATGTTTGCATCAGGAAATGTGAAGAATAAGGAGCAGTATGTCTGATTTAGTTGGGAAAAGACCAAGAGGTTTTCTATATGCATTGGAGTACTTTGGAAATACAGGAACAACACAAACTCTGTGATGGGGAAAATGGAATCCAAGAAGCTATGGACTGGGGAGGAGGAAAAAGCAAAATGGAGGTCTGTTTTTTCAAGCTCTAGGATGCAGATAAAGTTTTGGGGGGATTTTACTGAACAATTTTTAGGTCTTCAAGAGTCAAGAAGGCTTTCCAAGGAAGAAACCAAATCAAATTAAGTAGCTTAGTACTATTTTTTCATTACTTAGGAAGACATTCCTTCTCCCATTCCTTTTCTTTTTCCCTTACACAAGTAATTCTTACATTTGAGTTCGGATGTGTACAACAGAAGTCATCTAGCCAGAGTGTAACCCTTAAGGAATATGTTTTTCTATCCTTAAATAACTGGCATTCTCCTCTGCATGTGATCTAACTTATCATTAACCATTTTTATTGCCACAATGGTTAAGTTAGAATTAGTTTCCTAACTTGAGATAGCTCTGATGAGAGATGATGGCCTGCACTGAGGTTGATTGGCTGATTGTTCTCTGCAAGTGACACACTGACCTAGACTTTTGTAAAGCATAACAGGTGAAGCTTTATCCTCACACATTTTTGTTTTGAAAGAACAAAAAGAAGACTGTTACCTTGTTTGGGTATCCCAGGTATATCTTCAAAGGTAAGTGTCCTCAGTGAAGGTCTCCAGAAGGCGTAAGACTCCACCAGAGCTTCCAGTCCCATTCTATTTAGAACAAAAATATCATGGTGTCATGAAAGAAACGTGTATTTTGTCACGTTTCTGGACACTTTACATCCAAAACATATAAAAATTAGTAACTTTTCAGGATTATTTTTTAGTCCATTTTCCTTTTTAGAAAAGAGCCTTACAACCTTATCCACGAGATCACTGTGATCTGTAGCCACCGGGCTGGCAGCATGCAAAGGGTTTCCCTGATTCCACAAGTTTGGCTCTCTTTTTCAGTATTTTTGGCCTTTGGGGGAAGGCTATTGGAGGGGGGAGACTTGGCTAAGATGATATTAAATGTTTTCCTAGTATGACATTTCCTTAAGAGCAACCGCTTTAACTGCCAGAGGGATGATCTCCTATTTCTGCCTAGAAGAAAGGTGATCCACTAGCAATTTCTATTTAAAAAGGATTCCCAGTCAACACTGCTGAGTTGGAAAATCACACAACATGAACAAGGCAGGGGTGTACAGCTCTTTTACTTCCAAAGTGCATAAAGCGATGTTGTGTCTTGGTTATTATGTGCTGAGCAAAATGCCTTGACAAACTAAAAATCTTCTGTCGTTTTCTTCCAACAGCATCGTGACAAAGTAGAAATAACTGAGTAGACAATCCTGGCAGACAGTATTAGAAGAATCAGCGTTTCCTGAAGGTAAAGGCTCATCTGTTTTCTGACATGATTTTACAAACAATGCACTTCAGAGGTGTAACTTTGCTGTTATTTTTGGCTGCTGGGCCCCAAAGGCCTGTCAAGTGTCAGCATCAGGCACTCACCAAATACAAATGCTTGCCTTTGAGCAGCAGCACTCTGTAAACTCGAATTATGCAAATAGCCCAATTTGAAGCTCCCGACATGTTCTTCTGATCCTGCTTCTTCCCCACTGCATTTCCAGCAGGATCACAAATGTATGTCAGGAAACATTTCTAAAGTATTTATTAGCTGAACCTGGGCTAAACAGATAGCCTTCGTTTTCTGCAGTAATGGTGAATTTTCATTTCTAGTTAAAGTGGAGATAAAAGCCACCTCCTGGAGGAGTGCAGCCAAGGCGATAATTTATACAAGATGCCTTTGAACAATTTCCACATTTTATCACCATCCTAATTTACACTATCAAGTGGCCAAGTCTATTTAAGAAAAAAAGTTATGTTTTTCTTGAAGTATTTAAAAGGAGAAATTCTGGTCCTTTCCTGAGTAAAAGTTTTTATAGGGTCAAACTTAAGGCCTAACTGAAGAATGAAACTATTCTCAGCACATAAATTCTGTTGCACTTTGCAAATGCACAGAGAATGCTTTTAAAAGGTGAAGCTACTGATTTCTGTAAAATAGCCTGTGGGACTCAATGGGAATAACCTGAAAGGCAATATTCTTAATTAAATAGAATTACTGCGTGCAGCAGCGCAGAGTAAAATAGCTGCAATAATTAAAACAATATTGAAAAGTGGGATGCAACAGTACTACATTTTATTTTACACTTTTTTTGCAGACTAAAATACCTCACTGAAAAATACGCCAGTTAGAACAACGAAGGTAACAGTACCTTACCATTTAAACATTTAGCAACAGAATAAATTAACAATCAACTGAGCAAAACAGTAATTCAAATTAAAAAATAAATTTACATTTTCCTTGACAATTAAAAAAGATGAGCTCCATTCCCAAACACATAAATTCGGTACCATAAAGCCTATCAAAGAAAACAGTAACACTTCAGTAAATCAATGTCAATTTGCAATGGACAAGAGTTTGTGGAGTCACTTCTATAATGAGCATGTCTGTTACAGTGAAAGCATTCAGACCTCATCTAAAACCAGTTCTGAAAACACTTTACAGAGGCTGGCCCTTCCTACAGGACTGGTCTCCTAATCCATTTCCATAAACTGCAACTGCCTTTCAGTTAAAATAGCCTGTTTTTTCCCTAATGCATGAACCAAATTCCTAGCAGCCAAAACAAAAAATCCTCTCTGGATATCCCCAGTCGTGCAACTGGATTTGCATGGTGGCAGATGCAGTATTCTTGCTGCACCTACCTCACACTTGGGTAATACCAGGGCTGTCCCACCACATTAAATCCAGTTCAAAATGGGTTTCTGAACAATTCTTTCCTCTCTATTTTCAAAGGCATCTTCTCTTGTTTCATGTAACACTATGGAAGAAATTCTAACTCCACTCAGAAATTTCAGATTCAGGGTTCCACACTTTTTTTAAGAGGCTCCTTAGTACTTATTTTACAGCTCTGCAAAAAACATGCATAGCAGAGACACTGCCTATGGAGAGCTGTCAAGCAGGGCACGTATGGCAACTCTTTTCTTCCCAAGTACACACAGCATGTTTTGCTTCTTCAGTCACTACATTTATCTGGAAGTTACTGTTCACTGAGATTTCTAGCTAGAAGACTACAAAGAAGGACAAAACTCTATTTACTCCTGTGCCTGGGGAATCCCGTCCAGGCCCGGGACAGAGCATGTCCAATTGTTTCTTGCTAAAAGACAAAAATCTTCAGAGAACAGCAAATGCAGAGTGCAAACTGAAAAGATACTTACAGTGAATTCCTGTAAAATTTAACATCTACCCCACAGCTTCTGTAACTGTTCAGCTAAAAACTACTCTAGTTTGCTGTCCAGTCTCAGCATTTAGGTAACTCAGGTGGAAGTACAAAACAGGCTTTAATGCTGCAGCCACTGCTAAAAGAGAAGCTCAGTAAAGCAGCTAGCTAAAGATACACACTGAACACTCCTATCAGCACACAGTCTGCTCTCTTCTTTGCAAGGCTAGGTCATAAATATAGCAGCTGCAGACACCAAATGCAATGTGGTCACTGGAACTGATGTCTAATACACACCACAATTAAATGATGCTTTTTTTAGCTGAAATGGTTTAACATACAATTCGTAGCAGGCGTAAGTATTTTGCATTAAACTGTTTTTGGATAAAATACCTCATCAGTATTGGCAGCCCAAACTAAACCCAAGTCTCCACTCTGCACTACTCACATTCCCCATTGCTATTTCGAAAGATTCATGGATCAAGAGAGAAGCAATTAATCAGTCCAACTGTAGCAGAAGTGGTGGAAACCAGGCTTGTTTCAAGGTCATCTATAGCGTAGTAAGAAAGGCATTCAACTTAGGAAGTGGATTTGTAACTCCTTAAACTGAAGAGACTTGAACACAGGTCTCCCACCTCCTAGGCAAGTGTACTAAACACAAGGTTACTGCTAGAAGCCATTTAGTTTCTCCGTCTTTGAGAGAAAAGGACGAGCCCTTCACCCATATTAAATGCCACTTATGTGCAAGAAAACCTGGGCTTATAGTTTGACACTGGTGTCTGCAATTTGTGTCTCCAGCCAGGAGAAAGAGGAGCTCTCAGAAGCAGCCTGAAATCACAGACCCGAGTATATGTCAACTCCATTTGCAGCGTCCGTGGTGTGCTGCTGCTTCCACCCAAAGGAAACCCGAGCACATGAGCCAAGAAGCCATGTGCCAACCCGTTCCCGGTCTAGATGGTTAGAGGGGTAGGAATGGGAGCCCACCACAGAGAACTTTATTGGGAAACCTCTGTGCTCCCTCAGACTACTTTGTAAATACAGGTATGGCCCTTGACCAGTCTTCACAAACTGATTAACTGATTCTGTCAGCAGCAACAAGCCCTCCTCCTTCCCCCACACCTACCTGTTACGTCCCGAATCTCTAAAGCCCTTGGCAAATGGATTCCTGTCAATCTTCAGACGAGTTATCTGTGAAAATTATTAAAGAACTTTTACCTACAAATTCAGCTAAGTAACACACAAAATTACTACCCTGACAGAATTAAGCCAACGGTGGAGTAGAAACATAATGGTTTAAGATGATTGTCCTGAAACACAGCAAAATAAGGGCCAGCCTTCTGATCATTATTTTTGCAGATCCCCAGAGAAGCGAACAGGAATGTAATGCTACCAAATGGCAGGTTGGACCTCTTGAAAAAATCTTCTGGCAAATGTCATCCTTCACCTAAGAGAGCACACTGCCTAACTGCAATAAAATTTAAATTAAATTTTATTTCTGTATAGCTCAAAAAGGAAATGTGAAAATAGAGATTATCTCTAGGTTATTATCCTCCATAAAAAAAACCAGCAGCCCCCTCTCAAATACTTGTAACACATTTAAATAAATGGGCTAGGCAGCACATAATAATATTTCTATTTTCACAGGGTTCTCCTGCTCTTCTCTTTGTAACAACAGCAAGGCATACATAAATACCCAAAATATAGCTGCAATAACTTACATGGAATTAATAAAATGTCACAACACTATGGTGTCACTAGATACGTTTACACTGAAACAAGTGGTAGTAAGAGCCAAATGCTGGAGTCACACAGCCTGCAGTTTACTTCTGACTTCAAATCTGTACAGACCCAGATAAATTGCAGTTCGTAATATGCACTGAATGGGGTTAACGAAAACGACTGCAACTTTTCTTCCAATCTCAGCTTGCCTGTTAAGGTCCTGGGAGTTTTGAAATCACTGGAGTCAGGAACAAAAGTGCTTTAAAAATTAAATCCAGACATGAATCTATACTTACAGGCATAAAAACAGGTTTAAAAATTAGACTGCTCTTTGCCTTGTGCTTCAATGCTGTGTTTATAATGAAGACACCGTTAACCCTGTTAATTAGACTGTGTGATCTCCGTAATAAGAATGACTTTTTTATATGCAGCATCTAGCTGACACAGCCTTAAGTCTCAGCTTATAGCCCCCAGGGGCTGCTGCAGTACTCCTAGTGAAAGCTACTTGTAATATGAAAAGGGTTCAGACAATGCTTTTTAGTAAGTGGTACAATAAAAGCATCCACTTTTCTCCTATCTCTTACTCCTCTGGTCTACTCTGAAAAGCCTGGAAAGTGCTAAGCAGAAAAGCCAAGTTACCTGTTGATTTTGGTATGCTGTGACAGTAGTGAAAACCGTCTCTGGAAAGGAGAAGGCTTTCACCCCTTCCCCTGAAGGGATAGGCTTGACGGGGGACAGATCATCTCCACAGTCTTTTCGGATGACATGGACTCGAGGCTGGTATTTATGCATAGAGTGAAGGATAATCTACGCAGTCATGAAAGGAAAAAGATAAGATTTATTAGAAAGGACACCCTGCTGTTTCAGGACTCATAGCTTTTTGGAACAGATTATGGTATGTGTTTACCATGCCACTTACTGGAAATCAAAAGTTTTCTTTAACCTCTGAAGGTTCTTATTACAGTAGTCTAATCCCTGTGCATTTATGTTATTGCAAACCCTAAGCATTTAAAAATTACGACTCAGGAGCTCCAAATTCAGACTGGCTCAATTGAGACTGGAAAAAAAAAAAAAAAAAGATGGAATGAAGTCCTGGTCCCACTGGAATTAAGAAAGTTTTGTCACTTTTCCACTGAAGCCTGGATTTGATCTAACAGGATTAGCAACAGCAGCATTTCCCTTTTGTTCCTGGAACTGCCAGAATATGCTTGGAGCAATTTTTTTCCTGATATCCCAAAGGCTGGAAGCACATCTTTTTAGAAACACAAGCTGACACTATCACACTCTGAAGGAGCAGAAGCTTCAACTAAAATAATACAAAAATCCAAAATTCTGAAGTGTTTATAACTCTAGATTCATAATACAAACAATGAATATCAATAGGCAAAACTCTCCCAGAATACAAAAAATCACTTAAGAACAAATTATAAGCAAGAAGTATATGAACCCACAGTGCATAAAATTGAACACAAAAATACCTCTCGGTATTGTTCCCAAATTTTAGAATATATTTAAAATACAGATTTTTTTTCCCCCTATTTTAATCCATTTCAGATAACCACTACTAAAATAGAGGATTTCACAAAAAAAATATTGGAAGCTCAACTGTTATTGTTGGAAGGCCTCAGAAATTAGTAACTCAATAAATAAATAGTCCTATGGCTATTGGCCTGTGGAACCCCTAATCAGCGTTCAGGGGAAGCTTTTTAATTTCCTGCTCCTTGAGTAGCCTCAGAACGTGCATGTGGTCAGGCATCCGGCAGAGCCCCTATGCTAGACACCATGGAAGTTCATCCACCCAAATGACACAGAGGACATTACATAAATTTGGATAAAATAGAGCTTGGCTAGTTTAGGATACTTGGTCCAGACCAGATGACATGACCCTGTTTTGGATAAGCCAAGTTTCTGGATAATCAGGGGTTTTACTAGCCTATAAGTAAGGTTTTGACAATGACATAACAGGCTCATATTAATTGGCCTTTTCCCAGTTCATGAAATCTTGCACAGAGAATTTTATCATGCAAACGTGTATTCTCTTTTACAACACTTCTTTTAGCTGCCAAAGACCTACAAAATGAAAATTGTAGAGAGGACAGCACATTCCTCACCCTGTTTTCCTGTGAACACCCAGTGATACCAGAGGAGGTACTCGTGCAACAGGAAAAAGTCATCAAGGAAAGCTCTGTTCCACTGTTCAAACCCATCACTGCTCCGTGCCTCACCACTTGCCTGGCTGCCACTGAGCGTGACACGTTCTGCTCCCACCCCGACGACTTCCCCCCACCAGCTCTGCGGCACAAACGACCGCTGGCCCACACGGCAGATCTGGCCACACACAATGATAGCCCAGGCAGCTACCAACAACTCTGCTCCTCCAGCAGAACAAGCGAAGCCACAGCAGCACACAGACAAACACCTCCTGCTCCTTATCTGGGTGGCTGTTACAGCTGAACTGATCCTTGTCATCTCTTAAGAGCAACCTGGCTTAGCTCTGGGCTGTACTGAAATTCCCTGTGCTGACACGCTGTTAGGCCACCGGCGAATCCATCGCAAGAAACTTTCTTTTCTCCATTTTGTACCGTGCCTTGTACAATGAGACCTTTGTTAATGATCAGGACTCTGAATTCTAAATAAATAATATATAACTGCAGAGCCCAGACGAATTAAAGAGCGACACTATGAAGACAGGATATAAAAGGTGGGAGAGATGCCACACCCGCTCCGAAAACTGTTTAGGTCTATTATTCTAAGCATCACCTAGAGCTACTGTGAAGAAAAAGACAAGAAAAAGGAGATTCTGGCTTTAATTTCATATATTTAACAGCACAAATGGGAGCTAACAGTTTATCTGCAGAAGGAGCAACTTTCCCTTCATACCCTTAAAAGCCAACAATAAAAAACTCCAACCAGAACAAGTCCCACCAAGTATGAAGCACAAACTGCCTCTCTCTACAAAACCCTCACAGGGCATGACCAAAGCACTTTGTGGGGGAATAAACTGCTCCCACCAAATGTAAAATTTACCACAGCAGTTGTCTAGACATCATTATCAGATGGAAAACACTGCAGCAGGGAGCCCACACGTAGGCAGCAGGACAAGGCAACCGCCTGGCAGAGCACAAGGGGCCAAGGCATCTGCAGACACACAAAACTGGGATTACCTTCAGGACTACCATCACAACATGGTTTTTGAAAGATGCTGCTGTGGTGAGGCCTCAGCGCTGACCCTGAGCTTGGGTACTGCTGTGGCACAAACATCACAGCCAGCACAAGCAAGAGCCTGGTTCTCTTTTACGGGGGGAGATGCCAATCCTCTAGCAGCTCAGCAATGCACAGATTACCCAGCCATCTCCCCACCGACCTCATGGTCTTCACCTTGATACTCTTTTCACCAAAAATCCTCCTTTATCCTTCCTGCATAGCCCAGGCTTTTTGCAGTCAGGGAAGTGTGTGGGGCCAAGAAGCATGTATTCCCTCTTTACAAAGACAGAAACTGCAAGTGCAAATGCTGATGTTTCCCAGCTTTTCATTGTGACAAAAACATATAACTACCCATTGACTGTAAGCAGAGCTCGATACTTGGAGCCAAGTCTGGGCAGAGTAAGAGTCCGCCTCTGCTCCCAGCCTCATCCCACTTTCAAATGGGGACAAAAAAACCCCAACCACCAAGGAACAATTAGCACGCTAACAGCCTCATTTTCACTAAAAGTTAAAAGATGTTTCTCCGCATCAAAAAACACTCAGTTGAAAAGCATGGAAAATAGCATAAAAAATATTGACTTTTCCCCTCTACTGAAATTCAGATTAAAAACTGCACCGAAATAGAAAAATCAGCCAGCTTTAACCAGCCGGAGGGAGACTACTTTTACAATGCAGTACTTACTCCACAGATGAGAACAGGATGAGAGGCATTAACAAAGAGCACCCAGACCACACACTTCTCAACATCAGCTGCAGAATGCAGGTTTACTGTTCTGTACCATCACAACTCAGAAGACAGACACAAATACCACAGTGCATATTAATGATGCCATTGAGCCTTAATGCCTCTCTAGGCACACCATCTTTGCAAACTAGGGAATTCACCCTGGGACTCCGTTTTGACATCAAAAATACAGAAGGAAAACACCCTGACAAATTTTGCTTGGTCTCCTCAGCCTGCAAATGGAACCCATGTATCAGACGCTGTCCTACGTGCATATGTACTTCAAAATCTCTCTACAGAACACTGCTACAAACTTATGTTGTTACAAACTCCCACTCAAAATACTGATGAAAACAGCAGCAGGCAGCAAGGAACCCAGGAAGCGTTCAAGCAGTGCAGCAAGTCGTCTTAAGAGACGGCTGATCTCCTGTCACAAGAACCTCATCCCAGGCCACCTCAATGAAAGGGGAGCTTGCTGCCATGAACTACTCCCACAATGAAAATACTGCACAGGAATTCTACCTTAGTATCTGTTTGCAAATACTGTCCCCAGTCCCGTGGACGTGGATCACTTCTCTCACTGATTCTGACAGTTAATACTCCAGAATAGTCAAAGGGGCTTCGGGCTCATTTCACGCGAGCTCCCTACCTCTACACGTGCAAGATGAAAACCTAGCCCTGGGATTTTAACACAAATACTCTACAACACCTCTGAGAAGCATGGGAAGAATAAAGAACAATTCTGACACAGATTAAAGACAGCATAAAAAGTACACCTAAAGAACAACAGCTAAAGCCTGATGCTGCTTTAACTACTGGAGGAATGATGGCAGCATTTAGAGACCCCACCAGGATTTCTCTTAGACATCCTGCTTAAGGAAGGGAAAAACCTCTAACTTCCTAATATTCTACAATACACCCCATCTCCCATGCAGGGGTGGGAGACTCAGAACATTTGATGTAGAACCAGATATTTAAGGGATAGTACAGCCTTGACCCCTAGCTCTTCTAATACCCCATCCCTCCCCTGGTACGCTCTTTAGAAAAATGGTTCCTTCCTGCTTATGAGAAACAATTGGGTTTTATATTCATCACAAAATATGATTATTCGTTTTCCATTATTGCTGGAGGCATTCAGAGGCTACATAGCTTTTTCAATACAGCATTCCACACTACCATAGCTTTAAAAGAAAAAATGTACCCATTGGAAGAGACACTTTTCTGCTTTCTGCTTTTGCCTTTTCTGGTAATTATGAATGACATGTTTGCAATTTTCCAGATTTGAGAAATACGAAATTATTTTACAGTCATCCTTCTTTTGTCCTTTTATTTTAATACTTAAATTTCCATTTTGGGGAGGAGGGGCACTGCCGTAGGTCTGAATCAGTTCAATGTGTCTCAGATCGCTGTACTAGGGCATTGCTTCACTCGTTTCCAAATCGAAACACTTAACTAAAGACCAGAAAATTTATATCCCCCCAAATTATGAATAATGGCGTGCTGTGTACACTACACAGGTTTCAGCTCAGTATAAAAACAAAGCTAAGATCTGGGATGGAAAAATACAGCAATACAATTCTCTACATAGACGAGATTTTATCACAGGGCAGTTTGCAACTCCAAGTGTAGGCGTGGACCATGGTACTCAAGTATCACCCCTCTGAAAGGAGCGAGCACAAAAACCAGCCGGCCTGCTGGAAAAGTGACATTTCACTCATCTGCATCGGCTGCACTTTTTAAAACCCTCAAAACAGACTCCCGCCAATATTGGGGAAACTAAGGGAACTACATGTGCTAGCCTTAACGCAAACGGACCCTGCCAAACGGGACCCCATATAACTGAAATTCTGGGAAAAAATGAGATAAAATGCCTTTCTCACAAGCCTGAAGAAAAGCAGCGGTAACTTACGGATGTGAGTATCACAACACTCTTTTCAAGAAAGAGTGCAATAAAATTATGAACAGCTTTTTACAAAAGGAAGGCTTTTTATCCTCACTACCACATTTGCTAGCTCAGCCCAGCCAGCCTCCTGCATTCTCTGTAACAGAAAAGTTGTAGGTCCTGCACAATTTGACCAGAGTCTCACATTAATCTCCTTCACAAACACAAATGGAGGAAAAAAAGTCTCGTTCTTAAACTTGGACTATGTATTGGCAAAACCCAGCTTAATGTCACTGAGCTACAACTATACTGAAAGATGCATGTAGTGTATTTGTACTCTGTGCCAGGTACGTTTTCTTTCACTCCTTTCCACAAAGGAGAAAGTATCCTGATTAATATAATCGGGCTACACTAAGGGCAATGGAATCCACATCCTGTCTCGAAACCTGCCTCCAACATCTTAAAACTCCACCACTTGGAACTCGATGCTCCTTCTGAAAGGAAGCCAACATTTGCCACTTACTACAGGATTTTGCAAAACTCAAGATTTCACCCTGACTAAAAACAATTCTCATTTTTTAATTATTTACTAAGGTGTCAAGTAAAACTATTTTTGGGATTGCTGGAAAGATACTGGCTTACATCTGTCATGTTTCAACAGTTTTGAAGAGAAAAGGAAATATTAACATAACACATTTTGTCACATTAGATAATGTCATAACTAAACAATTTAGAACTTGCAAACAGAACACTCACACTGCATACATCTTTGCCAGTTTTTTCAGGAGTAATGAGCCTCAGCTGTGAAAGGGTCTTGCTTCATAAGGTATGTAATAAATCATTATCGGAGCGAACCCAGCTCCCATGTTGTTCGTTTTCGACTGCAATTATTAACACCTCATGGGATTTCACACAAATGTTTAGGTTAAGAAAATAGTTAAGTGTATTTTTATTCACATGAAGTTATTACATGCTAGTAATGTTTCTTCTAGCCACTTGTGAATTTAAGCGTCCTTTTTGATCGGAGGAGAAGCTGCAAGTAACACACTTGGTGGGAAAGCATGAGAGCAATTCTGCCCCTTCACGTTACGCAATTTAGGCTTGTAAAGTCTTTCTCTGCAGAAGGAGTTCTGTTTTGGAGGGAGGAGTAAAACAGCAGGCTCTAATAAGCAGTTAATTATTGGAGCAAAAAGTAAGCAGATTTTAGTTCTGGACGGTAAAGATCCAAAGCAGCTTTGAAAAGTCAAGCCTATTTCTGGCACCCTGAAGCTGTACGTCAGTCTCTTTCAGGGCTGAGCAATGTGCCTACATATAACACTGCAGAAGAGCAAATACTCACATGCCCTTGATCGTCCAGCTCATTATTGGTAAGCTTCAGTTTGTCGAAGCTGATCACTTGTCTCATCCACGTCTCCCCAGAGGCGGGTGAATCGGGGTGAATATAAACACGAGGCGGTACTGGGGAGTCAGCATTACCAGCCACCATCCACTTGGAGCTATGATAAACATACCTATAAAAAGAAAACAAATACCTTTAACCATAAAACCCAAAATAACTTAACAGACCCATTCAGTATTAATAGATCAGGGGCCATACCTACAGCAAGAGCCCACCAATTAATGGAACACGAAAGGACAATAAATAAAAGGGGTTCTTTTTTTTTTTTAGTTATTTCAAAACACAGTTCTGGTAACTGCCAGAGGAAGGTTAAAAACCACACTCTGATCTGATCTTAGTCTTCTCAAAATCAGTAACAGCCTTAACACTAGGCTCCACACTGAGCTTTGAGCTGCTGTCAGTTCATTGATGGCTACAGCTCCGCTCTGAATAGGCATCAGCAAACAGGGAAGAATCTAGTCCTTCATTTATCAAATCGAGTAGTAATTCCATATTTGGAAGATTTAACATGTTGACTCTAATATAAGACTCTCTAAATAAAGCTATTGAAGGGAAAGAACATTATGATTGGGAAAAATAACGAAACTATGTGAAACTAAAAAGGCGTAAAAATGAAAAAACACAGCCCATATTTCATCTGATAGGCCAATGCTGCCAAAGTAATTTTCTAATAAAAATAGTGCCTGCTTTGGTACAAAACTTATGTTGAAGGCAGACACAGGGCAATTTAAAAAGCACTAATTAAAAACTTCAAGGTATTTTTTTCAAGTACAATAAAAAATTCCAGTAATTCAGCTATGATTTTTAATAAAAAGAAAAAAGATTTTATCAAGTCATTTGCTTGTACAATTCAGTTCCTTATTAGAAAAAGACAAACAGCATAATTGGAAATGAAAACAGAATGATCCAATATATGCACTACTACGGACAATTCGCATCACGTAAAACTAAGATCTAGAATGGTGGTGAAATTCTCTCCTGGAGACCCAGATCACACAGTCAGTCAACTGCTGTAACATTTTTCACTGATTTTATATTTGTTGTCTTACACTAAATACATACTTTCCCTGCAGAAGAAAACAAAGTCATAAATATACATAAAATATTTTGAACACCTTAAGCTTCCCAGTATTTACAACATTCCATTTCGCTAGAAATCCAGACCCAGCTGCAATTTTCTTCATTTCCATTTAGCTTTGCTATCTGCTCTGACAGCTAAAGACTAGGCTTCATATGTGACTGAGGTTGCATCTTTAAAATCTAGGGATGTGCAAGACAGGTTGTAAACCCACAGAACAGCCAAAATTAAACTAGCAGTCAGCAGTTAAAAAAAAAATCATAGATTGCACAGGAAAGGAGAAGTGGAATCAAGTAAAACGTGTGAAACACTAACATTTAACAGGAAGGTTAAAGGCATGGTACTTGTACATGATTACAGAAATTTAAGTTTGTCACTGAAGAAAATACACCCTTCAAACAACTTCTGTTAAGTTACTCCAGTTATCTGGGCATCACATATCACACTGGGCAGACAGTGCAGCTCAGTATGACTGTATTTATTTTAAATGAAATGAGGTTTAAACAACTCATACTCAATGTAACTTTTTAATTTTTAATAATAACTCTTTTTTCCATTTGGAATAATTATCTCACTTTTTCTATGAATTAAAGAATTGCTCAGACCTTCTAGGAATGGTATGCTTATATTGCTAAGTAAATGCACACATGCAACACAAAGCAAGAGAAGGGCTTTCATCTCAGTTGCACTGCCTTGGTCCAAATCAAACAGCATTTTTTCTCTATGGTACAGTCAGAAAAGCCCCCCCCGACTGGGTATCCTCAGCACTGGTACCTGCACCTTGTTGAAAAACACAAAACCTAAAATGGTCCTGAGAAATGTCTTATAGGCTGCACGAGAAAAGGACAAAATTCAGTCAACGAGGCATGGACACACAAAAACCATAGGGCAGTGTTTGCTTAGGAAACAAGGCAGCATTCCTGCAGACCCAAGCTTCTAGCCTTAGTCTGAAATATTCCTAGTTCTACAACTAAATCTGCAGTGGCTTTCCTTATATTATACAAAGTATAGGGTTGAAGCAATCAAACTAGCAATTGGTAAGGGCCTGATCCTGCCTCCGCTGAACGACTTGGCCAGGCTCCTCCTCGCTACTACAGAGCATGGGATGGGATCTGTAAAGCAAGACCTACAAAACAGCTCCTAGTAACTGCCGTGGGCCCAATCCTGCAAACATTTCTGCAGGTTTCAGCAGAAACTATCAGTGGTTTCAGCGGAGTCCAACTCGCTCCCTCGAAGCACAACTGCCCTCGAAATGCTGAGAGTTTCAGCTTGTAATTCCTACTCTCAGATGTCCGAAGAACAACTACTTTAGTTCCTCACATTATTCTTCAGACAACAATGCCACTAATTATTTAAAAAACAGTAATTAGAAACGCTGCTCTTTGTGAATCTAAGCAACCAAATATTTGAGTGATAAACCACCTTTAAATTAAATTACATAAGTCAAAGCATGACCAAGAAAGCTTATATACAATTAAATCAATGCTATCAATGTTATTAATTCATTTTAGTGACATTTCGCACGAAAAAAAATGTGCATTCTTGTACTCATTTGTTAATAGGAAATAATTCACAGTGACATGATGAGGAACAAAACACGGTAACATCTCCTGATGGCACTAGAACTGCACTCTCTGAAAGCCAAAACCTGAGCATCTGCCCACAGCACATACACAACACCAGGCAAATGTATAAAGAGCTTCAACAGACATTTTAGTTGCTTCAGCATATTGAGCACCATTTTTTTTTTTAATGTGCTGGGATGAAAATAGGAATCTGAAAGAGAGTTAAACATGACCGTCTCCTAATTTATGTAGTGTTAATGTTTTCTTCCATTAGCCAAGTTTCCTGTGGCTTGCATCCTACTTTTTTTGCCTTAAAATCACCATACCTGTATCTTTTGTTATCCACTGGCACAATATCCATAGCAATGTAATACTGCTGATGTGGGTCTAAACCTGAGATCTTCACTCTCATTGCGGGAAACATCCGCCTGAACATGGAAAGAGAGAGGTCATGTTTAATAGGAAACAGACTCGGGAAGGGTTGTTTAGGAAAAGTAACCGGTTCGTGGGATTTTTCTCGTTCTTCTTTTTAGCCTACACAGTCCTTTTGGACGATTATAGTTACATGGCCATGAAATGGCCCATTCGATATGTCAAAACAGATTTCTAAAGTGCATTTACTTGAACAATGCTTCGTATGTTTTGGGCTACGCTCTGGGAGTACAGCTATTACCACATCATTTCAACTTTATTGTTAGACAGTAAATCATTTGGGTTTGAGACTTTACTTTAGCATTTTAAAGCCCGTTTGAGATATTAGCTAGAATACATTTCTGGAGATGTGCAAACACCACCTCCACCCAGGAAGACCAATACTTACAGACACGCCAATTGCCACTGAAGTTACAACTGACAGCAGCAAATGGCGTTATCATTTCTGCAGCAGCAAATTAGAAAGCTGAATCCACGGTGATAAAATTATAACACCGCAAGGATGCAGTCGTAAAAGCCAACGTGCCATGCTGTAACCCAACAATATGGTCTTTATTGAGACAGGACTTCCTGTCTGCTGCTTACTAAAGGTGAAGTGCAAGAGCTACTCTGTCTTTGAAAGGTAGAGTAAAACTTCTTTATTGAAAGCAGAAACGAATCTACGAGGTAATTTCTTAAAAAAAAAAAACAAACAACCAACCTAAACAAAGCCCCAACGTTCAGGATTTAGATCCCTCTGCAGAGAAAACAATGTCTTTAACAAATGCCGTGGTTTTAACATAAAAATGCACTTCTTAGCCCACATTTGGCATGCCTGCTATTGAGAAAGTTCATTTTTGAAGCTCAAACAAAACAAAAAAGTCCTAGTGACGAGCTGACTGCAAGCCAATGAAAGGTACTTTTCTGTGGTTTATAGACCTGAAAGCCATTCCAGTTTACTCAGTATTTGCTGCTGTTCGGAAAAAAAAAAAAAAAATCAATTAAATGTCGTTACTGGGAAAAAAAACAACTCTATCTCTGCTATTTCTGAATAAGCGAGAGGGCAAGGCAGGCTACGCTTAACTAGTTTTTGCTGTTGTTTCAGTGCACCTGTAAGATAAAACAGAAATTCCCCGACTGGACTCTCTGAAGACAAATGTTGCTTTGTGCTGTCGAAGACTGCGTTCCAATCACTAATAAAGCCTCTCTGAAAATGCAGAGGGTACCATATGGATTCAATAAAATATGTTTTCGTAATTTCTAATAAGTTCAGATACTTTTATACTGCCCAGGTTTCTGCCATGTGTATCCACTGGAAAGAGTAAAAGTTTCCCCTCAGAAGAGCACGGCGCTCCCGGACCTCGCCCTAATGACCAGGAAACCCGAAACGCCACACGCTCCCGTGCCCACCCGAAATTATCGCCATCTACCTGCCTCATAAATCTGGGGGGTTCCCCCCCACCCAGTTTTGGCCCGCTTTGATGTGCCCTCCCGCCCCGGCAGAGCCCCGCGGGTGCCCGTTACCTTCCCGCCTTGGTGATGATCATCTCGGTGCCGATCTCGTGGAACCTCCTCCAGAGCTCGGCGCCCTGC